GAACACTCTGCCATAGTACTTGCGTTGTGAGTCTGTTCAGATGTTATTTTCTCTAAGAAAAGAAAGTATGCAAAAAAAAATATTAAAGAATGACTCGAGTCAACTCCCTGTTCTCTCAATGTTTATGTGGAACTCCATTACCTGTCTCTGATCCTGAGGTAGGTCTTTTTAGCCCCTTGTTTAAATCTATGTTCTACAGCTGCTATCAGAAAAGTAATGTTGAAATACCAGATCCTCAGGTGGGGCAAACAGACTTCAGTAGAGCTAATCTGATTTATACCAGTTAAAGTGCTAGCCATTAGCTAGGATCTATAGGTTTGAGATCAATTGTATTTGTTCTCTATAGAAAATGAAATAGAATACAGTTTACCATTTGCTCAGTTATAATAATACATTTTGCATTGTTAATGGAATAATTTAGTGCAGAATGCTACCTGTATTGATTCCCCTCTATTATTACAATAATCAGATTAAATATTTAGACTACAAAGAATAATTCCTTGTAGTACTGTCAGCCGACAGTCAGGGCAGTGTGTGTGTGTATGCTTCTGAGAAAAGGTTTAACGTCTGTGTCTTTACTGCTAGGACCGGGGTCATAGAATCATAGAATCATAGAATAATAGGACTGGAAGGGACCTCGAGAGGTCATCGAGTCCAGCCCCCCGCCCTCAAGGCAGGATCAAGCTCCGTCTACACCATCCCTGACAGATGTCTATCTAACCTGTTCTTAAATATCTCCAGAGGTGTCTTTACTGCTAGGACTGGGGTCCCGTCGCAGAGGGTGGCCAGCAGGCCAACAGACGCCCCGTTATATAGGAAGAGCTTATTACACCTTAGATTTTAATTGCTAGAACACAAAGTTCCTTCGCAGCGGGCAGCCTGGGAAAGGCTGGAAAGGTGCCCCAATGGATCTTGTCACCTGGGGTGTGACACAGATCCAAACGCCCAAGCTCTCCCTATGTCTGTCCTTTTATGACCGGCTGAAGTTCTTTTAAATTGTTCTTGGTTCTGTTACAGCAACTGAAGGAGTCAGGTTAAAGCTTAAACAGTTACAGGTTTATTAAAAGACTTATAAAAGCATATGGTTACAATGGCTATTGCTCTATTTCTTAAATGCTAACAAATACAGATTTTAAAAATGGTTACAGGAAAAAGGTAAAGATAGAAAATAGAAATAATGGTACCAAGTGACAGCTTAATCTTTAAAGAGCTCTAACACTATGTATATATATACTTAAGCAAAGGACCACATCCAGGTACAATTTTTACCCCTTTCTGTGCCTCTCGACTCCAGCGTGTCAGGCCAGGGCCGGTCTCTCAATTCCTAGGAAAGACGAATACGAGGTGGGCGTCCCCTTGGAACCTCGGGAGATCAAACACCTAACCCGACCAGCAGATAGATGGTAGATTGACACTCAAAGAGAATGCGCTGCTGGACCTATCTTTATACCCCTGGGGGCCCGTATTCTCTTTCTTATCTAAGATGCCGAATTCTACTGGTCCGTTTTGTGGCGCCAGTTCTTACAAGCAAGTTTCAAGTTAATTTACACTTGCAAGAGAGATAACTAAATTGTGAATACTAGACATTTTTTTTACTGGGCGAGAGATTCCTCCCCCCGCGGATGGATGTGTGTTCGTATCAATATGGGTTTGAGTCAAGGGCACTCCTTGGCAGCCTCTTGGTCAGCAATTGGCGTATCTCTGTTTACAGCCATTCACGGTCACACAGCCTGGGCCTTCTGCTCTGTGTGCCCTGTATGCTCCAGGCAAGCAAAAATGGATGTTACAAGGGGGGTTCCTGTCTGGCTACAAGTACCTTCAATTATTGTACATAATAATGCACTCAAAGGACTAACAAAAATAATCTGCTTAATGGTGGCCTTCTGAAAAGGTGGAGAAGACATATCCAGACAAAGGACTGACAAAATAAGACATTTTACTATTGCAGATTTCATTGCATATTTCTGGAGGCTGATATTAGGTCAGGGTGGGCAAATACTGACTGGCGGGCCGGATCCAGTCTGCCAGGGATAGCTGCTGGTAGGTTCCCATTGCTGAATTTCCTGCACTCTGCAGATACCAGTAATCGCAGCTCCCATTGGCTGTGGATCACCGTTCCCAGGGAATGGGAACTATGAAAAGTGGTGTCCTGGTCTGTGCCCCTTCCCACCACTCCCATTGGCTGGGAATGGCGATCCATAGCCAGTGAGAGCTGCAGTCACTAGTACCCGCAGAGATGTTTTGTTGCCCACCCCGTACTGGTTTGTGTACATGCTGTGAATATATAGAATTCCAGCAACAGAAAATGGCTGAAATGTTATGGTGCCCTACTCTATTGACAACCAAATATAGTATTTTAGGTGCTTTCCTTGTTTGCTGACTGTGTCATTACTAATCTTCTAATATTTGTGTAAATGTAATTTGGCAGGCTAACATTTGTTAATTAGAAGCACTTGTAATGCAATCTATAATAAAACAATGGTCTGAAGGAAAGAAAGGAAGGGAGGAATGAAGCGGAAGCAAACTTAGCACAAGCTTGTGGTATGTGAGAGTTATTACAACAGGGTCTGCTTGCTCAGCAATGATTCACTGTAGTCATTATTGCCTATCTTTTTAAAAGCTTTCTAATCAGCTGTTTGAAATTTCATCAGGCATCCATCCAAGTTGGTTCTCAGCCCAGAGACACCTTTTTCTCCTTCTTTCTCTTCCTCGTTTGGTTTTCAGTCACAGTTGTTCAAGGGGTTAAGTTGTGCCTCAGCTACAGAACAGAAATTATGCTATTTGTAGCAGTTTCATCACTTTTTCTGAGTCTTGTGTACTATTAAAACTGCCTAAAAGAGTTTCAGTGCTGCATTTACTATGATACAAGAGACTGAAATCTCTGTTACAATCCTTTGCAATGGTGGACAACCTACAGCTCGTGGGCTGCATGTGACCCATCAGGATTCTATGGGTGGCCCATAAAAATTTTTGTTTACTGTTGCCCACGTGCATAGTTGCCAGATTTTGCTGGTATTACTATAGTGCCATGCACATAAAGCAAGGGCTCGTGAAGTGATGTGTGTGTGCTGATTGCACATAACATTGACTGTGAGAGCCGTGTGCTCCCTTGGCATCCAATTTTGCACACCCTGCAAATTCCAGGTACACAAACACAATTAGCAAAACTACACTGTCGCTGGATATTGTCTTGGTTATGACAACCTCCAGGGATAGGGTAGGAAGGCCAATCGTGAAGGGGGACCAATCATATGGCCCACTCACTATCCTGGGTTGCCTCTCACTGATCCATTGTCCAAAGATAGCTTCTTTGTAGCATCCTTGGTGGACCACAGAAAGGACCATAATATAGGGCCAAATTATTCACTTTGGTGTAAAAATCTGTGGAATGAGATTAGGTACCTACAAATTCCTGTTGAACTAAGGAGGCTGTTGTTTTGCCACGTGATTCCCTTACTAGGACACAAAGGCCAAGGGAAAGAATCTCAGAATACTGAACTGAAAACTGCATTTAGAGCTGTGCACCAACCACATTTTCCTTCCCTCCATTATTGGTGCAGTAGCAGCTAGATGTGCATGTATATGCACCTTGTGCTTATCTTTGGAGGTGCCACAGAGCAGAAGTTAATGCCAAAAAACTGCTGTGTTAACCCACCAGTGACTTTTCGGTGTAAGCTAAGATAATTTCTACTGAGAGAAAAACACACAGACCACCTCCCCTACACATTCTTCCACAGTTCACCATCACTCTTCCCTCAAACCTTTTCCATCCATGTGTGGAATACATGTTTTATGTTCATCGAGGCATGTATCAATGTGTATGACCAATAGAAACACAAAATTTAACTGTGGGAGCTTTGCTAATCAGCTGGGTGGCATTTGAATTTCTCTTGAATGGCTGCACAAGTTCCCAGCTTACAGGGAACACTATTCATCACCCCAAAAATAGATGCAGATTTTGACCTGTGCTAACCTGCAGCACACAAGATGCCTCTGTCTATGTGTTGTAGGTGAACAAATAGTTGAACAGCTTTTTCTTCTCTATTCAATTCCACATCCCTTTTCAATGTAATGCCCATGGGTGTGCTCCTCTACACGCTGCCCTGACTGAAGGGGCCTATAGGGCCCATAGTGTGAAATATTATTTTCAGTGGCTTGATCGTAGCAATTATATTTTATATGGATGCAAATTGTTCTAAATAGATTATAAATCAGGCAACAAAGTAAGAGTTCAGATTTCCCTTTCAAGCATCCATGCTTTGGCCTTGTGGAAACAATGAACCAAAGCCCACACAAATTGCCATGTGTGACAATGGATAAGTCATAGGATCAACTGCTTCAGTCTCGTCTCTGAAATGAAGATAACCATGCTTTATCCCCTTTATAAAAGTGTTGTAGATCTGCTAGTGCGATGCGTACAGATTGTTAATTACTATCAAGAATAGTGAATTTCAGACCAAGTCCCTTGTAGATACAGGACTAGAGCTCCTTTCTCCTATTCCCAAACTCAGTGCTCAGTTGCCGAGTTGTTAGCTGCCTGCAGTGTTACCTCTTTTCATTGTGAAAGGAAAATAGAGCAGAATAATACATTTCTGTCAGATGTGTGCATTTTTAAACAGAGAATAATGTATATCATACTTTGTGGGCAGACATTATTTTCATGCTGTTTGTTTAGCAAATTTGGTATTTATGTTTGGGTCGGTTGCCACTAGGAAGATGATAATCCAATCATAGTAATGTTGTTAGCAATGGTCATTTGCCTAATTCATGCTTATGATTATGGATCATCATTAGACATCACGTACGGGGTAATAGGTCTGTGGTTATGTATTTCATTTGTTTATGAACTATCAGTTGCATTTATTGTAAAATGAAGTTGTTGTTTATGGGTCCTGTAACACTTCTATAGCAAGTTAAAACATGCTATATGAAAAAAACATTTTAAATTGTTCTCTATCAGAAAATGCTGTGGCTTATTTGACTTGTTCACCTTTAAAAAGGTTATTATTGATGACCAGTGGAAGATGTCCTCATCCCAGGATGAAGAAAGGACAGATGCACAAAAGTTCACTCCCAGGAGATGGGGCTCTGGAAAAAGATCTCGGCCAAGACCACTTTCAGACTATGGTCAGTTGGCAATCAGGAGTTTCTCTATACCAGAAGATTCAGTTGCAATGGAGTCTCGGAAAACAGACTGTGTAGATGGTGAAAGTCAGGTTGGAGTGGCTTCTGTGGAGACTACAGTCCAAATCAGTACAGTAGGTCACCAAAGAGGGCGAAAACGAAGACCTATCTCTGTAATAGGTGGGGTCAGTTTCTATGGGAACAGCCAGACTGAAGAAATAGAAGATCTGCTGACACAAGTAAGATATATGCTCTCTGCAAACTACAAAAGACTCCTTCCTCTTCCTTGACTTTTATCTTCAAGCTAGAAAATAAAATGGACATTTCCTTTCCTTTCTTCTCTTTTTCCAAGCTGACATCATATACTTTCCTTGTTTTGGATAATCTTGCTTGCGTTGTAAACTAACCCTCTTCCTTTTTGGGGATGTTATTTCCAGTAGCTATTTAAAAAAATGCTTATTTGTCTATAATAAAGCCATTTGTATTTTTGATTAGTCTACACAGCATACAGGTTGCAGGATTCAAGTGAGAGGTGTATACAAAGACTATTATAAATAAATAAAGTATTCATAATCCTTTGAAACTGGGCCTCTTAAAAATCTGTGGATATGAACCGATTGGTATTAGTACGTGTGCAGTTAAATGCATAATCCATTAAAAAACCTGTAGAACAGATCAGGGTCTCAGACTGCATGGCTCAGGGATTTGGTAACATGGAGTCTTTCCATTGACTTTAATGGGCCCTTTGGCTCAGGTTCAAGTGTTCAAGTATACCTATGATCAGCAGTTAACTAAAATTGAAACAATCTGACCATACTTGGGTAGCTCGTGAGAAATTAGTTAGTGTTCTTAGTGTAGTTTCTAATTGGTATCCGTATAGAAGAAACATAGACTATTTTGCTGGCTGAGCTAAGAGGTCAATAAATTAATACACTTGGGAAATAAAAGTATCCTTCTCTCCCCTAGAGATAGTCTATAGCACTAGGCTGAGGCAGTGTAAAGAAGCCTGCTTAGTTGTACATGGTTCTACAGCTAGTAAGAGAACTTTGGTCTGAAGTCTTACCCAGAATACATTCTCTCTGTTACCATGTTCTCCACGCTATGAGAACTACTAGTTCAAGCAATTGTTAAATTGATTGACCAGTGAAAAATTATAGCATTTCCTTTAAAAGTATCCTGAAGTTGTTAATGAGGTCTGATTGCGCTTAGTCTTAATTGTTCTCATAAGATTACCTCATCCTGTGAAGTTCAGCACAGTACCATTAGGAATAAAGCCTTCACTTAAAAGAAACAATGATCCTTTTCACTGGCTGAGAATGCTAAAGCGATTATAGGTTTTTCAGTTTCCAGTGAAAACCATTTTTAACATGGATATTCTTATATAGTCAGTAATTCTTTCTCTGTGTGATATAATACAATTGTCTTTTTTTATTTGCCTGATCAAAAATTGCTAAAACCACCTTCATTCTTTACCAGCAAAACTGATTGAAATCAATGGAAATTTTGTCTGTATTTGGACCAGTACTCCCTAATAAAACAGCTATATTCTTTATTTGTTCATTAAATACTTATTTTTTTTGTGTTCATATGCACCCTTAGCGTTGTTGTCAGATCTATGCCTTAATTAACATAGCTGCTGGAACTAGGGCCACAGTGGGTAGTGTAGCACCCTCTCACTTCAATGATTTCCATCATATACAAGGTTTACAGTTTAGTTCAATGGCTCTCAGCACCCCGCTATAAAAATTGGTCCAGCACTTTAGTTAATGAATTGTGAATAAATAATAATTGGTTTTCAAGAGCTGCTTTTCAATACAGTTAAGGCTTTAAGTCCACCCTACCATGCAAGGTGTCCCATATTTTTTATGGCTTACCTCAAGGGTTTCATCAATATGTGCCATTTAAAAAAAAAATCTTTGCTGCAGTGTGAAAATCCACGTTTTTTCCCATTGGAAACAAATCAGTGTTCTCCTTTCATAGCTTGCCTGTATCAGTAAATGAAGTGGCACATAAATTGGAGTAGGCGTTTCTCTTTTTTTAATTGCAGCTTTGCTGCCACATAGATGAATTTAAACAAATACATTGCTTTGGGAATTAACACTAAAATATGAAACAATTTCCAACGCAGGTACATTTTTATAATTAATAACAAAGGGCTGTTAGGCCTCAATCCTGCTCCCATTATCGTTCAGTGGCAGTTCTGTTACCTGCAAAGGGATCAGGATCAAGGCTTTAATGATAAATTATAATTGGTTAGGAATAAATACATTAAAAGTAATTAGCATTGCAGCTACAGAGTGTTATGGAGCAGCTTAGAGTTGCTTTTCTTGCTTTAATTCGGTTGTGCAGTTCTGAGATATTGAAATACCATAGAAGAAAATAATTAGGTCATATTAAAATGTATCAAAATATTTTTCAGTCCTGTGTTTGGTAGTTAAATTGATAGTTAAAATGTATGAAAAGGACTTACAAATGAGGAAGATATATATCAGAACTAGTTTATAAAGAACTTTTAAAGCCTAATTTTCACTTAGCAGATTTTTTTCTTTTTTTCAAACATGAGAGTAGCATGAAAAAAGTGTTTTTAATGCATTTTGTTTTGTAAAAGGTACCTAATCTGCATGGCTAGAGTCTCATTTCAAACAGAACTATATTAATGTGAACTAGGTACCTATTAGTTTATGCTAGCAGGGTCTACATAGGTCAGGCATTATGCAACAGTTCAGTGCACACTGCAGTTCACACCCCTGTGCTTCAGAGGCTGTGCAGATAAGCACTAAGGAAAAAAATCAGGTTTAAGATAATTTTTGTTTTTTCTTTGAAGTGTAATACTTAGCTACAGAACATTTATCTTGAACAACATTCTGGAAATTAACATACCTGGTTGTATAATTTCAGTGTTTCCATTAGGGATGTAATAGTGTAGTCAATTAACCTATAAGCAAAAGCTTATAAGTTAATGCTACTGACTACAAGCATTTTTCCCCCTCCCCACCAGTAAATTTTTTTAGCAGGCTGGCCAGCAGCCCAGCTCAGTCCCAGCTTGTGCTGGGTCCAGGACCTACCCCTGTTGCGGCTCTGCATTTAAATTGTATTAGAAGCCAAGTGGGCAGGCAGCCCAGCTCAGTTCCAGCTCGCATCAAGTCCAGGAGCTCAGTCACCCCCAGACAGGGTCTGCTGCCACCCCTTGCTGCTGCCTCTGTATCAGGTGACAGGCAGCCAGTCCATGAGGGGATCTGTTTTTTAAACTGGCTCCCCTCGCAGACCAACTCACCCTGGCACCCCACGCTGCTGTCTCTGATAATAGAGGCAATAGCATGCAGTGGAGAGGTCTTTTCAGGAGTGGGGTCAGAGCTCACTGGTTGCTTGCCTCACCCCCTATAAAATAGTTCCTAGTTTCCATTCTGTTATGTATTTACAGTTGGTTAACATTACACTAAACCAGTGGTCTCCAACCTTTTAAAGCACTTTTTGAATTTCAGTCAGTCCAGGATCTACCTTAAACCCAAATACCCCTGCTCCACCCCTTCGCCAAGGCCCCACCCTCCTCATTCTGTGAAGATGGGGTACAGGAGAGGGGGACAGAATAACATCAGTGCCCCCCTGCCTCTGTCTCTCCCACTCTGCACAACAAGCAGGAGGCTCCGAAGGGCAGCTCTGAGGCTCTGGGCAGGAGCAGCAGGATGGTGGGGGGAGGGGCAGCTGAAGTGCAAGCACTTGATAGCCTCCCTGCCAAACCAGTCAGAATCACCTGTTAAAGGCTCCAAGATATACCAGTAGATCCCAATATACTGGTTGGTGACCTCTGCAGTAAATTATTCTGAGATAAGTTAGCTACCAGAACATTCAGACATGGAGTATTATGAAGTCTACAAAGCAGAATATACATTGTCACTAATAATAGAAGGCTATAGAGTTTTTAATATAACAGAGAACCTTAATACTATTAAGATATTTACCATAATACCTAATGTAATGTAGCGTTCCATAAATATAATGACTGTTTGAACTGGGGGGTTCTTAGTGTCCATATAATCAGCTTGAGAGCATAAGGAAATCCCATTTAATACCTGTAGGTATCTTTGGCTTATTGGTAGCTTTTAGTACTACTACTAATGGATTTTCTTTTTCTTTGTAGCCAATAACACGGCCACCAGTTCCAGCCCACCAAGTCCCGCCATATAAAGCTGTTTCAGCCAGATTCCGACCCTTCACCTTTTCACAAAGCACTCCCATTGGCCTGGATCGAGTGGGACGCAGGCGGCAAATGAGAGCATCTAATGGTAAGTTTTAAAGATCTTTTGAAGCATTATAAACCAAATGTGTTCCAAAAATGGAGAGAATGGGTTAATTCATCACTGCCTTTAGATGGTGGGTGTAAACTACTGATAGCTTATAAATGGATGCAAATGGTAGAGTAGTGCAGTGTTTCTCAAAGTGTTCTGCAGGCGTGCTTTGGGAATGCTGCTAAAAGGCCTACGCTGCTTTGTTTACCTAAAGAGTTCATAGCCACATGGGCCCACAAATGGCTTTCCCAAAACAGGCCTGCAGAGCACTCTGAGAAACACTGACGTAGCATATGATGAAGCTGCTTTGTTTTATACCTTCCTGTTAGTGCTTTTCCTGCTATGCTCCAGTTACACTTGTCTTGCATACCCACTAAATGTTAAACTGATGCAAGGTGATCCCCTTTATCACTTGTACTCATATTTCAACCCCCATACTCCCTACAAGTAATTCACACTGCCCTCTGAAGGCTTTTCTATGTGCAAAGTTAGGCTGCATTAACTAAAGGTGTGAATTTAAAGTCCATTAAAGCACATTAAACATTTATGTGGAGGCTCTTATTCATAAGTCAAGTGGCTACTGCTGAAAGAGACCTGGATTTAATGAACTTTAACGAAACACTTTAAGTCCACGCCGTTAGTTAATTCAGATTAATTTTCATTATAGACAAACCCTAAGTGACCAATGGATTTGTCCCAGATATCACCTCCTTACCACAAGGAGGAATGAAATACATTATATTTATCCAGGTTTATGTGAATGTAAAGTACAACTCCTTAAAAAAGGACTGTAAAATCAAATGCCTTTTTGAAGCAGTATCTTTTAATGCCCCTTTGACTTACCCCTTACATTTATTTTCCAGGTCTACTTATCATTAGTGTTTACTTGCCATATTATCTCAAGCTGATTGTATTAAGGATATTAGTATCTTCTGTTAAACCATTAATTGACAGAAGATGTTAAAAGAAGCATGGTCAACACCATCTGTCTTCTTTCCTGGTCCTTTTAAGGGTGGGGGAGGGCACAACAAGGGGGCAGTTGCCTTGGGGTCCAGTGATTCAGAAGGGCCCAGAGCTTATGGCCAGCATTGTTACCACAGGAGTGGCAGCAGCCGGAGCCCCAGGCCCTTTAAATTAGGGATGTGATAGTGTACATGTTTAAATGGTTACCAAATGAGCCTGGGCTCATCGGTTAAACTTCATGGTTACATGCAACCCCTCCTCCGGTGCTCTATCAGAGGCAACAGCATGGGTGGTGGGGATGGAGCCGGTGGTCGCAGGGGGTCAGCTTTTAAGCAGGCTCCCCGCGAGCACTGGCCCCCTGTGCTGCTGCCTCTGAAACAGAGGCAGCAGTACGGGGAGAGGCGGGGACAGAAGTTGGTACGTACAGAGAGCCAGCTTAAAACCTGGCTCCTTGCACATACTGGCTTCCATGGAGCCACCGGTTCCTCCCCTCCATATGTAAACATATAACTTGAAAATTTCATCAGTTACACATTTACCAAAAATGCTGAATTTTAACATCCCTACCATAAATCACTGCTGGAGCACTGTGTGGTGTGCTCTGGGTGGCTGGGAGGGAGGGGGATGGAGTGTGGCGCTTAGGGTTCCTCAGCCCTGCTGCTTCTGCCCAAGACCTTGCCCCTTCCGGGAGCACAGAGCTGCTCCACTCCCACACTTTGCTCAAGGATGCGTCACGTCTGTCAGACACCCTGCTTTCAAATACTTTAGAACATCCTCTGAGCAATGTTACTCATTTAACATTATCCAGGGCCTAAAAAGCCAAAGTACATTCTTCACTTCAGGCCCCTTCACTTCAGTAATCTAAAGGATAGCTGCTGTAAAGGCACTTGGAAACTTCGCTGTGCTGCTCCATATATACATGGAATAAGCAGTGTGGAAATCAGGATCTACTGTGCTTGAAGTGGAAGATTATCAAATAACATGTTCAATGTTTCTTTAAAAATTGAAGAGCATTAACCAAATAATTTTTCAGGAGTTTGTATTTGGTGCAGATTCTAGATCATGCAACTTTATCCAAATTCCAGAGAAGGAAGACTCTTAATCCACAAATGCATTATTTTAGCAACAGGATATGTATATGCTGTATGCTAAAATCCATAGATTGACTGTATTCTATGGGACCAGCCAATTCTCCTCTGACCACTAATTCTATGGACCACACTATGGGAATTACTGGCTGTGGTACTGAGACTATACTTCAGTGTGTACGTATAAATATGACAGCATTGGAGATGGTTTTAAATGTAGAAGAATTTATAGTCCAAATGAAATTATTGAGTAGTTCCATTGATTCCAGTAGGACTTTAGTAAGGAACTGTGAGCTAGGATGGAGGAATCATTTTTAAACTCACATAATAAATTGTGGAGATTTACACTAATTAGGAAAAGAGCAGTTACAGGCACTATTGATCATCAGACTGCAGTGCATGTGATCACTAGTCATGAAGGGAAGAAGCTTCTCTTGAAAATAATATTGCAACACTGTCCTGGTACACAAAGGGTGATTGTATGTCTTCAGAGACTAGCTGTTAGACTACATAGGCCACTTCTCTTTTTCAATATGAGGCTTTCCTTTAGATTCTCTAAAATGTCACAGAGTGTTAATGTTTTTCACCCAGAAATTGTGGTTTCAGATTGGATTAAGGTCATCAGTGAATTGTGTTTGGTGGTCTCAGCTGATATTCAATGGATGTTTGCTTGCCTAAATTGTTAAACTAACACAAAATTTTGTCCTGTTCATCAGAGTCCTTTTAAAAGTCCGAAATAGATTTCAATGAATTGGCAAGTTTATGTTACCCTCTGTACTGTATGTGATCCCAGGTAGAGTTGTCAGACTCCTACCAGTGTCTGACAGGTCAGATTGTCACTCTGATATTATCAATCTTCTGCACTTATAGTGCTTTTTAATGGGCACCTGGCATGGATTTTCCTCATGGCGACATGAGAAATGTTAGTGATGCTTTCTACCTATCCACCTTATAATGTAAAGTGACACCAGCAAAAGAACCGGAGGCAACAACGGATGGGACATAAGCATAGATAGACCATCCATACCAGCCTACACTAGGAAATTGAAAAACTAGCCCTAAAGAAGTCACAGAATAAGCTACAATGATATGTGTCCCCAATGATATGTGTCCCCTATCAGTTCCATACATACAAGATGGGAAGCGACTGTCTAGGAAGGAGCATGGCGGAAAGGGATCTAGGGGTCATAGTGGACCACAAGTTGAATATGAGTCAACAGTGTGATGCTGTTGCCAAAAAAGCAAATATGATTCTAGGTTGTATCAACAGGTGTGTTGTAAGCAAAACTCGTGAAGTCATTCTGCCGCTCTACTCTGCACTAGTTAGGCCTCAGCTGGAGTACTGTGTCCAGTTCTGGGTGCCACATTTCAAGAAAGATGTGGAGAAATTGGAAAGGGTACAGAGAAGAGTGACAAGAATGATTAAAGGTCTAGAGAGCATGACCTATGAAGCCAGGCTTCATGAACTGGGCTTGTTTAGTTTGGAAAAAAGAAGATTAAGGGGGGACATGATAGTGGTTTTCAAATATCTAAAAGGGTGTCACAAGGAGGAAGGTGAAAATTTGTTCCTCTTGGTTTCTGAGGACAGGACAAGGAGTAATGGGCTTAAAGTGCAGCAGGGGAGGTTTAGATTGGACATTAGGAAAAAATTCCTAACTGTCAGGGTGGTCAAATATTGGAATAAATTGCCAAGGGAGGTGGTGGAATCTCCCTCTCTGGAGATATTTAAGAACAGGTTCGATAGACATCTGTCAGGGATGGTGTAGACGGAGCTTGGTCCTGCCTTGAGGGCCGGGGGCTGGACTCGATGACCTCTTGAGGTCCCTTACAGTCCTATTATTCTATGATTCTATGATTTTAAGTGAAGCAAGATAACAGACTCACAGATTGTCCTCTTGCATGGCCTGAGTGGAAAGGACCCACTCATAGTTCCGTCTCTGCTATGGCCACAAGTCATGAGATTTTGAAACAGTCCTGAGGATATGAGAAATCATACCCTACAAAAACCTGATTCTAAAGCCCAAAGCCTGAGATTAAGTTTTCCCTTTTATATTGAAGCAACAACTTTTGAGTACTGATGCTTTCTCTTTCTTTCTATATACTGCATAAACTGTACACTTGTTATGACTTTGAAAAAGGTGGAATTGGGTTGGACCTCTGTTCATATACATGGTCTAGAACCCTGAAAACTTTGCTGAGGTGCTGGTACACTGTTATGAATTCTTATTGTGTGGGATGCTCATCTTGGTCTCTCTTTTTGTACTTGCATTTCTTCATGGATGCAGTTGATGTCATTTAGATTTCTACATATCTGATTGCGTCTTCAGTAATTTGTGCTTCCTCATTCCCTTCCTCCGCCCTTCTTCCCATCCTCTTGTGCAACAAGCAGCTGGTCAAAAATAACTCAAGTGATATTTTGGGTGCCTTGCTTAGTACAAGGCGGGGACCACAAAGACACACAGAACTGCCTTTTGGGGCAAATGCTGGTCCTAGTGAAATCAGTGAGAGTTTGTAATTGACTTCTGCTCAGGCCATGTGTTATCCTCTCACAGCTCAGTAGTGTTGGAGTGCATGTACTTAACAACATAGAAGAGTCAAGTTTCCTGTGGCAACTAATTAAGAGGAAGGAGGAAAGGACAGTGAGGGTGGAGTTATGTATGGTGTTGAAACAGACTTAATCTAATAGAGAAGTCTCTGAGTTTCTAGTATTAGGGTTTCATTTTAAGTAGTATTGATTAATGGGTAATATATTTTTTTGTTTTATTCATCTTAAAAAGCTGTGTCTAGAATTCAGTCCCTTCCATGAGATTCAGAGGTACAGATGCTTGAGAATTCTGTATGTATGCCTCTTGACTCATTCCATCTTCTCATCAAGGATGAGAAAGGGCAGAAATCCTCTACTGAGGATTTCATTCTCTCAGTTCTGGCAAGAATACTGTACCTTCA